CCAGGCCGATAGACTAATGATGGCTGCCTTAATTAAGAAACCTGATTAGGGTTTCTATTTTAAACCAATCATCTAGGACGATATAAATATTATCCGGGATGATGTGAGAAAAAATAGAAATCCTAAATCACTCAAGTGTGTGTGTGTAGGGTTACTTAGCATCTAACACTTCACAAGATTACAATTGACTCAAGAAAGGGAAAAAGAAAAAATACAGACTAACTCAGACCTAGTCTACCCAATCTAGAGCTGGCTCCATTTGCCGTGTAATCTCTTGGCACTGAAATATTAGTAGAAAAAGGCAGTCGTATTATTTGCTATCATCAAAACCATAATTCATAAAACCAAATCTTCAACAACATTAAGATAGGTTTTGAAGATTAACATGGAAAGGTGAAGTTGAATTTATATGACAAGACAAAATTACCCCTTTAAGGGGTATTTCGGTCATTTTGATCCATACTCAACCCTGGGTTAAACAGGGTCCAAGAAAGTGTAGGTTACTGATCAAAACTTATGATAAGGGCTTGTGTGTGGTTGGAGGGTTTAAAAAAGAGTTCCAAGATCAAATTCTATTGAATGGCAAGTCTAATGGCATAGGCTATAAATATTTAAAGGTTTTGCAGCCTTTGGGGATCAATTATGTTTATGGGTTTAGAGACCTCCAAATGAGCTCAAATTTAGAGAGTTGCCACTAAATACATGTCTTATCAATATATAATTGATAGACCCTAAACCATATGCTAATTGACTGGATTTCAAGTTGATAGAAAAATCACTTAGAAAGGGTTATAGAACCTGAGTCCTTAATAGCGAGGTTTGGTTTTGAATACTGGATCTGGATTGAAATCCAAGGTTGAGTGATTGAGTTTGGATTATCTAGACCAATGAAAATCAAATGAATAATTGAGATCAATTGGATATAATTTGAAAGTTGATGGAAAGTTTATTGGAAGCTAGATAAGAGATTGAATTGGAAAGTGGAATTAAGTTTGATTTGGTTTGAATTATGTCATAATTAGGACCTATATTATTAGGAAGTAGACATCTTCCAGCTATTAGGTAACTAGAAAGAAACCTAAGTGGGTCTTAGTGACCCCATATAAAAATGAGGTTAATAAATGGACCCCCAATATATGTAGCAAAATGAAGTTCTAGTGAACATATTGGCATTAACTGAATATAAGGAAGGAATTAATAATTTTGATTCTAAGGAAAAGGTGGACCAAACCTTAGGGAACCAAAATTGAGTACATACTAGGGAGGTGTCACTTAGGGTGTTATCCACTACTTGTGGATGATCTTTTGTTAGGGTCAAAATATACCCAACATAGAGGATCGGGTTGAATGATCTTGTGGTGGGGTTAAAATATTCCCAACACAGAGAATCGAATGACCATATAATGGGGTTAAAGAATGTCCATCATAGAGGATTGGGTTGAATGGTTTTGTGGTGGGGTTGAAATAAGTACAACATAGAGGATCGGATGATCTATAATAGGGTTGAAACATGTCAATAATACAGGATCGAGTTAAATGGACTTGTGGTGGGGTCAAAATATAACCAACACAGAGGACCAGATGATCATATGATGGGGTCAAAACATGCCCATCACAATGGATCTAGTTGAATGGTCTTGTGGTGGGGTTAAAATATGCCCAACATAGAGGAGCAGATGGTTGTATGATAGGATCAAAATATGCCCATCATAGTGGATCGGGTTAAATGGCCTTGAGGTGGGGTCAAAATATACATAACAAAAAGTACTGGATAATTATATGATGGGTTCAAAATATTCCCATCACTAAGGATTTGGTTGAATGGTCTTGAGGTGGGGTCAAAATATGCCCAATATAGAGGACTGGATTGATTGGTCTTATGATGGGGTATAAATATGCCCAATATAAAGGACCTGGTGATTGTATGATGGGATCAAAACATGCCCATCATAGGTGATTGAATCCTAAAGAAAGGCATCACCTAACCCGAAGGGAGGAGGACTTGATATGATTTACTGATGACTTTAATCTCTTAAAAATGCTTGGATAGTGAAAACTAGATTGATTAGAATTAATTTAAGACACTTCATTAATTGAAAATTTGAGCTACATTAAGCTTAAAATTTCTTAAATAAATTCCCATTAATAGGTAATATTAGTTAATTTCCTTTATAATCCACTAGCAGATACATGCCTCCTTCGTAGACAGTTTCTATAATGAAGCGTCCTTGCCAAGTATGTTCAAACATCTCACCAATCTTTTGGTGATCTAAGATAGGCCTCCGAAGAGCTAAGAACCAAGAACAAATCTCATACTTTGAAGGTTCTTGGTCACACTAACTTATCATAAGCTAGAAATATTTAGGACTTATACAACTCTAGAATTTACTAAGCCTGGTTATGATACTCCTCAAGGTGTTCGAGTTCATCTAGTTAGAGTTGTGCATTTTGCTCAGTTGTGATTTGACTCTAGATTGAAACTCTGAGTGAGGGAATCTGCGGTGATGCATCAACACTATGACTATATTTTCTAACTATAGATAAGGGGCCACACCTCCAAATTATAGAGAGAGAAACTCCCGAATTCTAGAGAGAGAAATCCGTCTTCTTGTTTTTAAATTTGGTCTTTTCGCAGGTTTCCCGCGATCGGTGGTGGCGGCAATGGATGATCACCAGCGTTCGTCTTCATAAACGTTCCGCGACCTATAGGACATGTACGTCCAAGTGGTAGAGGTTCAAATGGAATTGTGATCAGAGAAGGTGAGGAAACTCGTTGCTGAATAGCCCTTGTTGAAGGTAAGGGAAAGAGCGTGTTGATTGAGAATATGGATGGGAAGGAAATTATTGGTGGAAAAGTGAATCCAGGAGTAGCAATTCATGAATCATCGGCATCGGATGATTTGATTCTTCGTGTGAACAATTTTTCAGTGGTTCTTGATACGTTTAAGGGGCGTAATATTGGTAATGATTTGTCGTCGGTGGGATTTCTGAAGGAGGATGTAGCTGTGGAGGAAGGACCAGTGGACAAGGAATTGCGAAAGAATAAGAGTAATGAGGTAGTTGAAGCCTGGTCGAAACCAAAGCCAATCAAGCTATCGTTCAATAAGGACCATGTTGAATTTTCAGAAGATGGAATTATTGTTAAGTTAAATGCTGATATGGAGGCAAGGAATTCGAAGATTTTGAAGAATTCTGTGGTGATTAAAGTGCTGGGTAACAATGTGCCTTTTTCGATTTGTAGCACCGAATTGAGAAAGCAATGGAGCAGGTTTTGGGGTTTCCACTTAACGTCGATTGGTATGGATTGGATCCTGTGCTCATTCCATACGAGTGAAGTGGTTGAAGAAGTTCTGAATGGAGGACCCTGGTACGTAAACAGATTCATTGTTGGAATGGATAGGTGGTCGGCTGCATTCGATCCGAACTCGTTTAAAGGAGTTTCGGCACCAGTATGGGTTAGATTTCCATGTCTACCGTTGTATTGTTGGGATGAGGACAACATTGCAAGAATTGCATCTTGCTTGGGAATGCCAATGTACATCGATGGAAACACATTCTGATGGGGTAAACGGGAGTTTGCTCGAGTGTGTGTAAGGATTGATCTGGAGAAAAAGCTGTTGAATGGTGTGTGGGTGGATGGCTCAGCTGGGAGTTTCTTTCAACGGGTTGAATATGAGAAAATCGATCTTCTCTGTTATCAGTGTGGTAGAGTTGGCCACAACAGAGTGATGTGCTCAGAAAATGTATCTATTGGAATACAAAATCAATCTTTGAAGGAGAAGGAGGTAGGTAAGGAAAATGGTGAGAAGAAAATGCAGGAGAATAAATCCTCAGTGATTAGTTCCGAATATGGTCCATGGATCCATATTCAATTCAAAGACAAGAGAAACAACAGAGGGAACGTTGCTAGGAAGGGATTGAATGCTGATAGACTCGGCAATTCTGTCAGGGAAGACAACAATCAGAAGAATAATGTACAGTTTGATAGAAAAATGTTAAATAAGAATGATAATGTTGATGGAAACAATGTCCTGGCTCCAGAAAGTAGGGATGGACATGAAAAACCTGTTGGAAAGGAGAATTTGGAGACTGCTGTAACCAACAGGTTTGCTGTGCTGAGTGAAAATACTGAAGAAAATTGTTTGGTAGAGCAGGCAAAAGATATAAAAACTATAGAAAAAGACCGGGAATGTATTGATACTGATATCAATAACAGTGGTTTGGGTGTCTTCAGTGCTGCTGTCAAGGTGAAGTTGGCTAAGGAATTGAATTCTCTAGAACCTGTGGAAGTGGATCATAAGAAGAAAAAGAGGTATGATAGGTTGAACCCCAAGAGTGGGGAGAGATCAATTACACCTTTTTAATGTCTTCAATTCTTTTTTGGAATTGTAGGGGGGCAAGGAAGAAAGAAGCTTCCTTATATTTGAAGGAAATTGTTATAGATCATAGTGTTTATTTTATTGGGCTTATCGAGACCAAGTTGGCTAGCATTGACAGAAAAGATGTTGATTATTTGATTGGGAAGGAGTGGGAGTACTTTCATTACCCTGCTGAGAGTACCTCAGGAGGCATCCTGGTTTTATGGAATAGGAATATGGTTTCTTTTGCTATGGGGAGACATCATCACAAGTAATTGTTGGTAGTCTCTCGGTTCCTAACTTGGGAATTTGGAGAATTGCCACGATTTATGGGAGCAGAATTTGTAAGGAAAGGGAAAGCTTGTGGAAGCAACTTCAGGATTGTATAGAGGATGCAATTCCTTCTATAATTGGAGGGGATTTTAATTGTATTGTTAACAAGGAGGAGAAGAGATGAGGCAAAATGTTCTTATTCTCAAAAGGACCTAGGGAGATGAAAAGTTTTATGGTGAATTCTGATTTCCATGACATTGAAAGTATGGGACCAAGATTTACTTGGTGTAATAATAAAGAGGGACCTCTCGAATTTGAGAAAGGTTGGGTAGATGTATTTTAAATTCAGCTGCTATTCAAATGCTTCCAATGGCTACTATCAAGCATCTTGCTAGAGTAGCATCGGATCACAGTCCCATTGTTCTAAGTATGAAGGTTAAAATGCATTGTAAGGCTAAAATATTTAAGTTTGAGGAAACTTGGAGATCATACCCTACTGCAAAGAGTATTGTTTATAACTCTTGGATGAAGAATGACTATGGTGATGAGTATAGTATACTACAAAGAAAACTCAAACGTACGATGAAGGTTTTGTTTTTCTGGAATAAAAATAAATGCAAGGACTTGAATGTATTGAAGGAAACATTGAAGAGGGAAATTCTTGATCTTCAAAATAGGGAAGCTTGTGATGTTAACTGGACTGCTGATGATCTTGTTTTGCTAAGGAACAAAGTGCATGAATTGAATGTTACATTGAGGCGGTTGTCTACTTGGTGGAATCAAAGGGCTAAAGTGAGATGGCATGAGGAAGGAGATACTAATTGGTGATTTTTTCAGAATTTTGCTTCTGCAAGACGCAATGGCAATCGTATTAACCAAATTAAAGATGAGTTCAATACGCTACATGTGAAGGAGAATCAAATAGAGAAGGTTTTTACTAATTTTTTTGAGATGAAATGGAAGCATAGAGAATGAGAGTTGACGGGATGGCCATTCATTGAAGAAATCCAGAAAGTAAATAATGCTGATTTGGTTATGCTTAATGAGGAATTTTCAATTCATGAACTGCAAATCTCAGTTTTTCAGCAAGGGAATAACAAGGCACCAGGTACTGATGGGGTTACATCATCTTTTTATAAAAACTATTGGAGCATAGCTTGGGAAGTCTTATGGATTGCAATCAACTGTTTTTTCAAAACTTATATTTTAAATAGAGAATGGAAGGATACTTTAATTATTTTGATCTCTAAAGTAAAATATCCTTTTCTTCCATCTAATTATAGGCCTATTAGCTTATGTCAGACTAATTATAAAATTGTGGCTAGCATGTTAGTCAACAGATTGAAGAAAGTCATTGACAAGATGGTGTATGAAGAGCAAGCAGCATTTGTTCCAGGTAGATCCATTTCTGAGCATTGTCTATTGGCTCAGGAGATTCTCCATAAGTTCAAGTTATCCAAGAATAAGAAGGGATTGATGGCTCTTAAATTGGATATGGAACAGGCATATGATAGCATGGGCTGGTCAACACTTCATCAGGTTCTTAAGTTGTATGGTTTTCCTACTTTGTTTTCTAACCTCCTTATGGAATGTGTTGTAGATGTGAGGTTTTCTATCATTATCAATGGAAGAAATTCCAATTGGATTTGTGCTAAAAGTGGCTTCCGTCAAGGATGCCCACTTTCTCCGTATCTATTTATTATGTGCTCTCAACTCTTATCCAATTCTTTGGAGCAAAGGGGGAAGAATCTTGGTATTCGAATTTCACCTAGAGGTCCAAGGATCACACATCTTCTTTATGCAGATGATGTGTTGATTTTGTCTCATGTTTCTATTTCTTTAGCCAAATAATTAAAGAAAATTGTGAAGTAGTTTTGCAAGTGGACAGGACAAAGAGTCAATATCAACAAATCACAGATTTTATTTGGCAAGGTGGTGAGCTACCCTTTGAAGAAGAAGATTACCAAAGTCCTTGGTTTTAAGGAGTTCAAGGAGATGAAGTATTTAGGTGTCAAGATCTCACTTGGATGAAGCAAAGTGGCGGATTTTCAAGAACTTTTGAGTATGGTCATGGACGAATTCAATTCTTGGGGTAAGAAGTCTTTATCAATGGGAGGTAAGCTAACTCTCATTGAAGCTTCTTTAATTACTATACCAAATTTTCTAATCACTCACTCTTTAGTTCCTAAAAGAGTTTTATATGAGATTGAAAAAATGTGTAGAAGTTTTTTAAGGCATAAGAAGGAGGGGGCTAAAGGTATGCATTATGTTGCTTGGAGTGAAATTTGCAAGCCTAGGAGCATGGGGGGATTGGTTGTGCAATCTCCTTTACTGAGAAGTGGTGCTTTGAGATCTAGATTGGCTTGGAACTTCATTAAAAAATAGGACTCTTTGTTACATCGAACTTTGAAGGCAAAATATGGAGACGAGATTATGAAGGATGCTCAGAAGAAGGTAACGTCTAGTGCTTGGAAGATAATTCTGGATGGGGGCTAAAATTTGAAGAATGCTATTAGATGGAAGGTGGGTAAGGGAAATAAAATCAGTGTTTTGAATGATGCTAGGTTGTTAGATAAAAGCATCAATCGATGGCCAACTTATGTGGACTGTAATGTGCTGGAGGGGATGCTTGTTCAGCAGCTATTGACTTTTAATGGTGGTTGGAATTCTGAATTGCTTCAAAGGGCCTTTCATTCAGAGCTTATTTTGTTGATTTTTCAAATCCAAATCGAGGAAGTGGAGGAGGATAATATAGAGTTGTTGAAATGGTGCTCAGGGAAAACTGTTTCTGCACTAGTTTATGAACAAATGCTGATTAACAGATACAATTTTGATGATGTAGAGTACTTCAAATGGCTGCAGAAGCTCAAATTCAATAAGAAGGTTGAAATTTTTTGGTGGAGGCTAGGTAAAGCTTCAATTCCAACTAATCTACTTCTTAAGAACCATAGAATTGCATTGATGGATAGTTGTGAGAGAGGAAGCCAAGTGGTTGAATCTTATGAACATATTATGGTTCATTGTAAGTATATGGTGGAGATCATCATGAAGGTGCGAGAATGGGGTATTATGATCCCTGTTTTTAAGTCTTTAGAGGAATGTCTACATGAACTTAAAAGGCTTTCAACGTCTAATTATGGAATTGCAAAGTTGTATTGCTCGATGATTTATCTATCTTGGAAGAACATAAACTATGTAAAGCATGGTAAGGATGCATTCCCTGCGTCTTTGGTTGCTTCCAATGCATTGTTTTTAGCTGTTTCCAATCCTAGTCCTTATCTTTCTAGCTGGGGTAGTAACCTCCTTAGGGAGTCTTCAAATACTTGGTGCCCTCCACCGAAAGAGTGGATTAAGATCAACTTTGATGCTTCTTTACTTAGCCCTAATCTTGGGGGTATTGGTGGGGTCTTTCGAGATCATAAAAGACGTCTGATTAGTGCATTTGGAAAGAAGAAGATTCATTGGGATGTGGCACAACTTGAAATGGAAGCAATCCTTACGGTGAATGATTTTCTTAAAAGCTGGATGATGGAATGCAAGGGGGTGATCATTGAGAGTGATAATGTCAACATTATCCATTTCATTCAAGATTCTTTGAAGAAGAATAAATGGCCTTTAAATAGTTGGTCTACAAAGGAGGTTTTGTTTCTAAATGATTTTAATAAAGTAGTTTTCCATCATGCCTATAGATCTTGTAATAAAGTAGCTAATTGTTGTGCTACTTTGGCATTGGAAAATAGTTTTTCCTTTGATAGTTTTTCCTTTGATAGTATCCCTTCCGTCTTGATGACTTTAATCAAGAAGGAATGTGATATTTTGAATACTTGTATGTAGTTCTTTTGTTGTTACTCTTAATGCAAATGATGCATTTCTTCAAAAAAAAAAAACAAAAAAGAGTGAGGGAATCTGCACTTCTAGGGGGAGTATGGCCTCGAACCCATACACTAGGAAATGGTTGGGCCAGAGTACTAAAAGTGGTCTGATAGGCCCACAAAGATTTCACTAACCTCTCATCCCATTAATGTTTATTATCATCGAGGATCTTCTTGATAAGCTGCACCAAAGTCTTGTTGAAGGTCACAACCAACCCATTAGCCTGAGGGTAATAGATTATTGAGTATCTCGAATCAATGTTATGACATCTTACAAAACTATTAATTTTTGTAGACTTGAATGCATACTCATTATTAGATATGATTATATAGGGTCTGCCAAATTGATCATGATATAGTCCCAAAAGAATTTAAAAATATAGTGTGATGTCACAATATATTGGGGAATTAATTCTTCCCATTTTGAAAAGTCGTTCATCATAACTAATATGAAGATATGACACTTTGAAGAAGGAGGGTAAATCAACTCGATAATATCCTTGCCCCAACTTTTGAAGGGCCACGAAGCTATCATGGGGTGCAACACATAAGGTGTTTGATGTAAAACTACATCATGGACCTAGCATTGATGACAACATTTTGTAGTATTCATGTAATCATTAATCATCGTAGGATAGTAGTATCCAAGTCTTTCGATTTTAAACTTTATTTTTTAAATACAATTGATGAGTGTCATACAATCTGAAATGGACCTCATTAATGATCTTCAGGGCCTCTCATTTGTCTAACAACATAGCCATATCTGATCAAATTATTGGTGGTACAATTTATTGACTAGTGCATATGATAGGGCATGTTTCTTGATCTGCTTAATGAAGGACTTATTCTGGGGAAGTTTACCCTCTTGAAGGCAGTCAATTAATGGTTACCTCCAATGGCCTTGTTTTTTGGTTGTTTAAGAGCTAGAAAGGATCTAGGAAGTTTTATTGTCAATGTTGTCCAAATCAATAGGGGATAAGACCTGACAACCTTGAATCTCTATAGGAATGGAGTCTTCTTCTAAAGATGCAAATTTCTTTGCAAGCTTAGCTAAGGCATCAACTATAGAATTACTTCTATAAGGAACCCTATACAAAGTTATAACTGGGATCTATTTGAGTAGTTGACTTGTACACTAATGATATTTGAGGATCTTAGGATTCAAAACCTTATAGGTTCTTGCAACTTATAACAAGTTGAAATCACCAAAGATTTTAATCTTTTTAATCTCCATCATAATTATAAGTTCCAGGCCAGTTATAAAAGTTTTATACTTAATCTAATTATTTGTGTAAGGCCTAATAGATGGTAGGACAAATGAATCATTCCCTTCTATGGTGTTATGAAAATTAAGCCAATTTTATCTTTTCTGGGGATCATAGATTTCTATTATGCCCCATTAAGATTATACTGCACCATCAAAATATAATTCCTATATAGGATAATTAGATTCCCTTAAACTCATGATTTATTTGTCAGGTAAATCATCATTTTAAGTAGAATTCATCGACAACAGGTGTAACACAAGGAAGTAAGCAACAACTTATCCTTTCACAGCACTCAGGGAAATGAAAGTGTTCTCGAATTCAAGTAATATTATAGACCACCGAGCTAAACATCCTTACAATATTAACCTCTTTTCTAAATTCAAGTGGTGCAACCTTAACTTAAAGTTCATCAGGATCATCTATAGTCTCCAAATAGGGTCTGTTGAGAGGCCAATGACTACAGTAGGGACATTCAGAGATTTAAGATGATAAGTTATCTTTAAATAGCATTCATAATAATAAAACAAACTAACGGTACCAAAGCTGATACCACTTGTCAAATTTTTCTTTATTTTTGCTTGCCAAATATTTTCATGGTATCTATCTTGACCCTAAGTCCATTAATATGGTATAAAATATTTAGAAAATGAATTCTTTACAAAAATAGGGAAGTAGACAAAAGGTAGTT